TTGAATGTTGAGGCCAATCTGAAAGTCATAGCGCAGTGAAAATTTTAACTTTCAAAAATCAATTGGTAAGCTAAGGAACATGGATTAAGAGAAAATCATCATGAGAAGAGAGCACAGAATTGCCTATAATTTGTAAGATACAAAAACCAGACAGATGCAATCTTCCACTAAGATGCTACATGGCACATATTTGAAAGAAACACATGCATTATATACCTACATCTTTATGTTCCAAGATGAATTTCTCCAAGTAATTGATCACAGCAATTTGCTCTGTGTAACTGCAGATGCGAAAATATAATATATTGTTTAGGAAATCCTTGGGCTGCATCTGAACTTGACAGGCTTGAAAATTTTTCCGTAAGCTACGATATTCCAACACATCCTCCACACATGCTTCAGCAATTTGTAAAGCACGTTCCACCATAAAGCTGCCTTCTGTATCTACAAACAGAAAAGCAAAACATTTTGAACTCAAAGCAAGGAGAACAGTGGAGTAAGTATCCGCAGGTCATTCGTGAACTTATGTTATGACACTTACCTATATAAATTGCCTTGCCTCCAAGACCACCACAATCAACTGGAATTTGAACATTCACTGCAAGTTGAATCCTGTAAATTCAATTATATCTTAATGGCAAAAGAAAACCCAAATTAACACATACAAATTTAAGATGGCAACAACACGTACCCCAATTGTGTTTTACCAATGCCTGGAACTCCACCTGTCAAGATCAAGAAAACACTCTCTTCACTAGCAGAAGACAAGTCTAGTGTATGTGCACAATAAATGAACCTACAAACTTAATGAACCAATGAGAGGACATAGTAATAATGGGAAAATAAAGGAAAAGATAACTAACCAATTTCAGTTACTTCTTTGCAATTTATTCCTCCGCCCAGGATGTTATCCAAATCTGCACAGGAAGTAGTAATGCATCTAGACAAATCCTCCTCATGGAACATGTCCCAGGCAGTCTGTGCACCTACATAAGATGTAATGTAAGAAACTACTTGAATGTTAAAAATGAAAATAAAGAAAAGATTTAATGTTTAGGAAATGATTGATGAAGAAAAAGAAACATAAATCATTGCTCAAGTGAACCACATTTCAATTGAACACAATACTGAATGAAAGGTTTGCTAAAAGAATACAAGGATGTTCTCAAACTTTTCATCTAGTAGTAATTGTTCCAATTCTACATTCCTTTATAATTATACTAGTAGCAGGCTTATCCTTGACTCTTGTTATAACAACATGCCATGACTACTCCCTGTGCTTGATTCAAAACAGCAAAAAGTTCTTTCAATTCATGAAAAGTAAAGGGACAGACACAACAAAAGAATTATATTACAAGAATAGAGTAAATACCAGTAACAATAGCGTGACTTCCATCAGAATTGTCCAGTCTACCACAATGTGATGCAGCCTTCAGAATTTCAGAAGCCTCACTCTCTGAAATTTGCAGATCTGCTTAATGATAGTCAAAACAAAGATAAAGAAGTTAGTTATCATAAAAAATGAAAACAATTCTATACAATTGATAGTCAACTATACAGAAACCACACAAAATACTTCTACGGAGTCATTGCCAGGGAAAGAAAAGCAATGAAGAGAGAGAGAGAGAGAGTCTACTTCAATGGACTGCAAGTCTACAACATAAACAGTCTGTCATTTTTTGATAAATAAATAAATTTTATAGAAGAATGAGCATCAAGAAGATGCTAAAGAATACAAAAACGGGAACCTACACACAAAAAGGGAAAACCAACTAGCCAATTAGATCATCAATGAAATCTAAAAAAGTAAACAAATCTGGATCCATTCGCCCTGACACCCAACCACATAAAACTTTAAGAAACCTATCTTCTAACCAGGATACAAAATGAACAACTCCCTGGAAAACACGCCTGTTTTGCTCTAGCCACAACAACCACATTAAGCACAAAGGAGCCAAAGCCCAAGCCTTGCGCTGCTGCTTCCCAACCTCACCCCCACTCCAACTCCGGAGAACCTCCCACACCCCTCCCTGCTGCACCCACACAACTCCGAAAGTAGAAAAAACAAGCATCCATAAACAATCATTGTTATAAGAGGTCAACTAATGAAGGAACAATAATGACACAAATTCAGCTATACTTGACCAACACTGTAATCAAAATTTGAAACATATTAGGCTCTACATATTTTGATGGAATACATTAATAGAAAACAATTCCAGTTTTTGTTGCTTAAAATGTTTACAAAACATTCAGGGAAATGGAATTGAATTGCGCCAACTGAAAATGTAATTCATTTTCATATAGACAATCAAGGCTTGCAAAGGAACTCCAAGGTGTTGGCCTAGGGGTGTGCTCCCTTCAAGGTCTCAAATTCAAAACCTACTAGGTGCAAACAATTTCTGGGGGTCAGTCCATACGGGGCTTTACTCCGGCTTTAATTGGGCCCCCTCCCAGTTGACAGTGGGAATGGCCCCCGATTAGTCGGTCTAGTGGGCCAGAAACCAAGTTGTCAAAACAAAAAAAAAAAACAAAAAAAGGGTTGCAAAGGCACTGGGGTGATTTGGAAATTGGAATATGGAAGTAGCACAGTGAATTACACATAGAATAGATGAAAGTAAGGAATTAACGAGTACGAAAAACATTTCTACATAAACTACATGGGAGGTTATACTATCAAAACGAATTCTTATAAATTCTTCAGCAACTTCAATTAATTACAAGGAGGCATTAAAAAAATTAGAACACCCAAAATTATTTTCTCTGGAGAATAATTAAATTATAAATATAAATTAGTGGGTTATTAGTTGATCAGACCAAAGAATCAAAACATACCCAAATACATAGAAATTGGAAGAGTTATGTTCACAGAGAGCATACTTGAGCAAAATATCAAACAATTGATAGGCAATCACTTGTACACTAAAAATCAAATTCATACAAAGCAAGTAATAAGACCAATTTCAATACCATCATTCATAAACGAAGTATGATATATATATATATATATTTACAAAGTATATGTATATGAATATTGACGATGAGAAAGTGGTACCTCGAGCAAGGTCGGAGGGAGAGAGGGAGGAGAGCGAAGAGAGAGAAGTGTAGCCTGCTGATATCAGCTTCCCTCTCTGCGTTGCTGATACTGCTAGCCTCAATACCTCCATTTTCTCTCTCTCTCTCTACTTTCTCTCTCTTGAAACCCTGTATAGCGGTTTCGCGCTCACATCATTTTGGAAATTGGGGAATAAATTGTTGAAGGTAGCTTCTCTTTAGGTCCTGTTTAGCATATGTTTGGCATAAACTTTTTAGATAAAAAAAATATAATATTTTAATAACAAAAAGTAAAAAGTATGATGTGATAACTTATAATAATTTTTTAACTTTTTGATTAAAATATGAAATTTTCAACCAAGGTTAAAATAGACTAAAAAATTAATAAGACAAAATATCATGTCTAAACCATAATCATTTTATTTTTTCTCTCTTAAAAATCAAAAAAACTTAAAAATTCATCTCAAACAAGAATTTTTAGCCTTAACCTAAAATAGTTACAAACTAAAAAGCAAAAAAGTTAACATACATCTTAAACGAAGGCTTATTGACTTTTTCATTCTTTAGAGTTATATTATTTCTTTATTTATTTTTTATTTTTTTTGAAAAAAAAATTTAAAAATTAACTTTTAACTACTTAGAATAAATCTTTATTTGACTTGATAATTTATTAATAAAAAAAAATTATTATGAAATTAGAAATATTATAAGGTGGAATATAATTTTTAAAATAATAGGAGGCGATTCGTATTTTAAATAAATGTCAAAGGGTTTATTTGTAATTTATCCTTATTTTTTTTTTATTTTGAGTATAAACAAATTTATTGGTTTGTTTTTCTAGGAATTAAAATTTAGAAATATATATATGTCTCGAGAGTTTTTTTTTTTTTAATATTCTAAAAATAATAATGATTTAGAGAATTAACCCACTTTTTAATCTATTTGGAAAACTAACATACTTTTTGAAATCGCATTTTAAAAATGTGATTTTAAAATTGAAATTACATTTTCAACATGTATTTTCATCTTGAAATCGCATGTTGAAAATGTAATTTATGGTGATATGAATTTCATTAAGATATATTACATTTTTAATATGCGATTTCAAGGTAAAAGTGTATGTTGAAAATGCAATTTCAATTAAAATTACATTTTCAAAATGCGATTTTAAAAAATAAGTTAATTTCCTAAAAAGTGAACCAATTCTCTAAATTGTTTGTTTTTTAGAATATTTATAAAAAAACTCCATGTCTCCAATCCAAAGTTGGAATGTATAATTTAATGAAAAAATTAATAATAAATAAAATTCTCATCTTCACATGATTTACATTTTTTAAGAATAAAACTATTTTTTTAGTTTTTATTTACTAATTTCTATTTATTTATTTATTATAAATTTCGAAAACTTATACTGAAATTGAAAAAAAACCAACTTATTTTTAACAAAATATGAGCCTAAATCCCACTTTCAAGCATTTCCCTCCTGAACATTAATTAGTCCTTTCTTCTGTTCAGAACATGACTTTAAATCCAGGGTGATAGACAAAATACAAAACTCTTTAAAAAAAATTTAAATAAAATGGAATTGAAAACTTTAACCCATTTCAAAATTTGCATTTGCAAAAAGAAAATGTAGCCAATAGAAATTAGAAAAAATTTGATCTCAAACTTTAACAACCACTATTCCAATATTTTTGAAACACATACTCCGTCCCAAAATATTAGTCCCTTATTCCATTTTTCATTGTCCCAAAATATTAGTCCCTCTTCAAAAATCAATTACAAAAATAATATAAATTCTTATTTTGCCCTTCTTTTAAATTAATAAACAATATAAAAAGTACAATTATGACATTAATATTTCCAAAAAATGTACTATTAAAAGGGTAATTTTGAAAAATTAACTTTTTTCAAATGCAATAATTGTACTATTAAAAAAAGTTGAATTCTCCAAAAGAGACCATTATTTTGGAACAGAGGGAGTAATTCAAATATAAAAAGTTTACATCAGTATGACACCTCTCTCTCTCTCTCTCAAAACCTAATACTCACCTAACCTAACCCTGTGACAGTAACAGTGGCAGTGATACGGTAGCTGTGGCGGTGGCGGTGGATCGATTTAGAGCACTAGAAAAATATTTTCGCTACCAATAAACCCTTCTGAACTCTTAAATGCCTTCCCAGATGGGTGTCAAAACATTGCTTGATGCCAATGCTCAAACTAAGGTTCACGCAAAAAGGATGAACTTTTACCACAAGCAGAGACCGTGTAATCCGAAGAAATAATTTTACTTGAGAGATCCTCAAATAAAGAATATGGAAGACTTATTGATATACGGACTATGATTGTTGTTGTAGAGAAGCTTGGATGAGAGACGTAAGAGATGGATGAACCCGGGCTGTTCTCAGTGACCGTGCTTCACTTTTTCCTTCGGCATATTCATCTCCCAGTGGCCATCTTGGCCGCAAATCAAGCTGATTCATAGAGCAAACATGCCCAGATTAGATATTAGATTAGAACAAAAAAAAATAATAATGAAATAAATGCTTAACAAACTCCAATCTGAGCTGGTGTGATTTGTTCTTGAAAAAAAAAATTAATCATTTCTTTCATCAAATTAACTTCTAATTAAAGACACCACCTAACGTGTCATTTTTTTTACACACTTTTTTTCAAAACCTAGACACTTGGAAGACACACGTGACTATTGTTTAGATACACGTGTCAATTGATTAGACACACGTAAAACTAATTATAAGTTTGAACAAAATAACTATAAAATACAATGATAAAAGAAAAACAGTGTAAATTTATAAGAATTAGTGTTATGTAATATATTTTTTATTATTCAATAATATATTTATATATATGACATATATAAAATTACATATATTGCACGAGTCCCCCGACGTGTGTCCTGCTTTTTTAAAAAATTGTCATGCAGGCATGTCTGTGTCTGTGTGTTTATATTTGTACTTCTTAGAAAATGATGATAATGAAGGAAATACTCAAAACTAACACTAGTAACATTTTGGCTTCTATTTTTAAGAAGTTTGCACGATGCTCAATGGTTCTATTTTATAACATTTGTGGAGTTAGGTAAACCAAATGAAATGATATTGCCACAAACTAAAAGTTCACAAAGTAATCAATCATAGAAAAACATACTATAGTATCTTCAGCTTCATCAGCAGGTGGTGGTGGATCAAATCTTCCCACTCGGAAGTGCTCAATGCCCGTCCAAGCAACCATTACACCTACTCAGAAGAGAACAAGATGTTAGCCTTTGTATGGTGGCAAGCCCAGCTTACCTGATATTAACTTTCTATATCATAGATCTACATAAAAGAGTTGCATATATTAATATTCCAGCTTGCTTACACTGAAAGAATATTTATGTAGACCTGTATTCATTCAGTAAGGTGAGCATGAAAAGAGGACTCAAAACCAGAGAAGTCTTTTCCATGTCCATGTGGATTTCATTAATCATCTCCCTTTAATGGTATGTTTGGAATTGGTGGGATTTGATGGAATTTGATATGCTTAGTTTGTATGGAATTTAAAATTAGATTTGATTTGGTGAGGACTTGAAGAAAGGCGTCTTCAAATCCAATAAAAAATGGTAGGATTTCATGCTCTTATAAGTTCCCTACCAGCTCATGGGGGCATCATTATCTATAAAAAAAAAATTCGTTTCCAATTTCTTGTCAAACCAAATTGGACAATGAAATCATTTCATTTTAATTCCAATTAGTTTCCACACACAAACTAAAAAAAAGAAAAAGAAAAATAAAAAAGAAAGAAAGAAGAGGAAATTCATCATAAACCCATTTCTTTCCTCCCTCATTTTGAAATTCCATTTCTCAAACGATTTAGTTCATAAGGGTTTATTGGAATTTGGAACTTCACATTGCATTTTTGAGGCACCCGTTTACAACTGCATTACTACAATGTGAGACAACATTATGAAATAATTGCTCACCATTGTCGGTACAAAGACTAGGAGGAGGGCACACAAGTTGCAGGCCATTCTTCGTGACAACATGATTAAGTCGAGCCCTGACACACTGATTTGATGCAACCCCTCCAGAAACTACCTGCATCAGCCAACAGAAAAGGTTTGGTTTCATGGGCAACAATTTGGAGAGAGAGAGAGAGTCAATGAGATGAATTGCAATAAACACAAAATGGAGAAATTGCTGTGACATCACCAAATATTTTACACTCACGAACAATGTGAGAGAGAGAGAGAGAGAGATTACCAAATATTTTATAGAAGGATCAATCTTCAACGCCCATTCAATTGCTCGTTCACACCTTTCCTCTAAATGTAACACTGCAACTCGCTGCAGCAAAATTCTTCATAGATACTTGGATAATAAAAAATTAAAATATAAACGTCCGAGTAAAATGTAGAAGACATTATTATTGCTTGTTTTTCACTAAACTTCGGTAGACAAAAGATACCACAAATGCATATACAGACATACACACACACACACAAAAAAAAAAAAAATTACCTGGAAAGAGGCAGCAATGTCAGATCGTGAACGTCTGTCTTCACTACTTGCTGAAGAAATGGGAATTTCAGCATTGCTACCAATCCACATATGATTTACATCATGATTTATAGATATACAGTAAACAACCACCCTCAGAAATCAAGTATGTGCTGGAATTTCATGTTACGGTTCTATTGAAGCATTACATTTATTTTTATCCAATAAAACAAATACAATAAGAATGAACTAGGGGCAGTAATCTGTAAATTTTAAGTTTTTCAAACTTATCATGCAAAAATGAAAAATCACAAAGAAACAAACATGGTCAAACTATAGGCAGTTAACTTCTGTTAAACAACAGATTAATAGGAGTCGGTAATTTCATTTCTTTACTTCTCATTTTCTTACCAACAGAAGATGAGGACAAGGTGGAAGAGAAGCAACAACACTAATGATTACAGGTGTTTCAGTTAAAGAATTCAAAATGCAAAGTGACTGAAAATGTTTCATATTAAATAGGAAAACCAAGTAAAAAGGGGGAAAATGTGACTCCTTTTTTTTTTGGAGATAATTTACATACATATTTTTGGATGCAATTGCCAGCCTCACTTGGGTCTTCAGACCAGCATATGAGAAGTTGCAATCTTTATGTTGTTTCATAGGAACCTAAGAAACAAAGAAAGCTCAATTTTACTGAATGCAAATATCAAATTAGTAAATGATAAGGTTGTAGAACAGAACTCAAAAAGTATATGCATTAGATGCAAGGCAAAGGGAAAAGGAGAGAGAGAGACGTAAAGTAAATGAAAATTACTCACAGAGAATTTGACTGATTCTGCATCACCCTCTTGAGCAAGCTCCTCTACAGCAGGGCCCCCACTCCTCCTCAAATCAAGGCCAAGCCATTTTGCTGTTTTGTCGTATGCCTCACCAATTGCATCATCTATTGTTGTCCCAAGTTGTATGTATTGGCCAAGATCACGTGCAAGAATTAGAAGATTATGTCCGCCTAAGAAATATATAAGTAAATACAGCATCATAAGCTTCAGACCAAATGAGTCAAAAGAGATAAAGCAACAAAGCTTATAGTCAACGGCACAGTACAGCATTGTCTAAAACGATTGCCTATGTACAGTCACAAGGCTTTTTATTTTTATTTATTTTTTATTGTTATCAGTAAAAGCAATTTCATGTCTATTTCCCCCACAAGTGCATGTAGACATGCTTATTGCTTACAAACTCATATGACAAACTAAAAGACAAAAACAAATTACTAGATTAGAAATTTCATACCTGAGATAAGCAGCGCCATAAAAGGAAATTGCAACTCTTGTTCTGTTAACCTAGACAAAAGAAATACATTTTAACGAGCATTAAGTGTAAACACATTTTTTATTTTTTACTCAATTATAGCACAACAAACAATTCAGTTTGCACTTACTATCAGGAGAATCAAGGCTAAGATGCATGGTGCCTTAGCCTCAAGCCTAGGCATTCAATGTCCAGAAGGCTATTTTGGGTGCACTCATCATTCCCCGACCCAATCAAGTGCATCTCCACCTAATAACATGCCCAGTTCCCCCCTCAACCAAGCCAAGTGGTTCTCCATCCTAGTGTGTTTTCTCCTACACCTCAGTCCTTAATCTCTAATGGCACCTTAATGCTCCCATGCCGAGGTCAAGAGTAGGACCTAGGACTCCCTCAAGGTTAGTGTTAAACACTGAAGTCATGGGGCACCCGAGAACCACCTTGTGACGCACATGCAGGATCTATGGGGTTATTTGGCTCAGTGGCTAGAGTTAGGAGTTCAGCGGTATGCCTAGACACTCGTCTGATCCTCCCTCAAGGAGAGTTGCACCTTGACCGATCTTAGAGAAAAAAATATTCACATGAAAACAAAGACATGTGACATGTTCCATACTCCTCTGTGTATGAAAAACATGCCCCACTATCTCTATAAACTAAGCCTCTCAAAAGGTATCCATTCTACTAAGCAATTATAGTTGTTCCACCTAGTAAGCGTCAAACATGATGCTATCAAAGCCCATCTATAAATCACAGAGATGCAAGCTAAGATATTTGAATTAAAAATAACAATAACAATTATCCTTAGATAGTGAAGAGAGATTTTGCATATGGCATATTAAAGAATGATTGGCATTGCCACACAATTCTGCAAAAAGTGTTGCATACAATCAAAAAAGGCATATTCTAAAAAAAAATTAGAAGATATTCTACAGTGTAACTAAAGAAAGGTGTAAATTAAATCTTAGAAGATACCCATATAGTATCTAAAGAGATACAATACACATGGCCATCTCTGTAAAGCACATCATAAAATAGACAAATATAGATTAAAATGATTCAGAAATTGTGGATGCAAAAATTACTGTTCAACTTCATGTCCTAGGCGGCACATTATGTAGATATAATCATATAACTTGCAGGTGTGTCAGAAAGCTTAAACATCAAAACCAAAGAGAAGGTAAACCAACTTTCAACCCCCCCAAAAAAATGGCAGCATAAAAAATTTCCTCAAGCCATTTAAACCATCTAAAAAAGTACAGAAACCACTTGTAAATGAATCATAAAATGTCAGTAGAAACTTGAATCCATCTCAGATGAATACAGTTATGAAAATTCATTTCAATCCTTGTTTTTAGTTTTGCATTGAACTTGAATATTTCCACTTAGTTTAAATTGTACCTGGCCACTAAAGCATGAGCCTCCATGTGATGGACACCAACAATTGGTAGATTGAAAGTCCCAGAAATTTTCCGAGCTTTCTGCACACCAACTACAAGCAAGATTTTCCAAAGTCGTGTCATACAACTGAGTAGCACAACTGAATTAAATTTTAAGCCTGTTACACTTCTCCTACAGTCAGCCACTGCCCTCCCTGACCCCGCTTTAGAGGGAGCCTACTGCACTGGGTCATCTTTTTTTTTTTTTCAGCGACTAATCCTGACACATCCAAGTAGAAAATACAACAAAGCAATAAACAACGACCAAATGCATGGTTTCAAAAATCAATTACCACGTAAACAAAGGCTTAAACCAGGACCAATAGTGACAGCGACTGCAGAAAGATCCGTCTCCTTTACATTAGCTTTATCAAGTGCATCCTGTACTACCTACAATCCCAAAGTGTAGATTCTGGTTAAGTGCTATCACAACATGCTTAATGCAAATGTTTCCAGCCCCAAAATCAGATGAGGAAGAGAAAGAGACGAGAGAAGGCGAACAGTCAGTCTTTAAGCAGCTAAATTTGTTCAGATAAATGCATGAGTTGGCAAGTAACATGAAGGCATGACAGCAAATGTTTCGAAAACCTAAACTGATAAATGCATTAGGGATAAAAGTATAACAAAAAGGCAAGGAAGTATATATGAATGCAGCCCCATACGAAGAAAATCTGATACCTGATCAATCACTTGAGCATGTGCTTCTTCTGCCATTTTAGGAGCAACTCCTCCATATCGAGCAAGCAAATCTGCCTTCATGAAATTAAAGTTTAACATCAGTGGAAGCCATATTTCAAGCAAAATATAAATAATTGATGATGTATGCAAAATCTCTTTTTTGGATGCAGCACTCAACCATCACAATATACCAACGCTGTTTTTCAACTGCATAGCAAGTTCTAAAATAGAATATAACCAGCCTTTTAGTGCCTTTTAGGAATAGAGAAATGTTATCTAAATTGCACTAGAAGCACATCTTTACACCACCAATCCCGCTAAAGAACAACAGCCCACAGATATGAACCATCCTAAGTCAAACATAGGCCACTTTTAGAAACCTATGGTATTAATCTTCACCATTAACTCAACTTCACTCAATAGTTACAAAATTACATACACATTAAAGGGTGTGTTTAGCCAGATTATATTTTGCCATTTCACATGAAGTATTTGCTTGGCTGGTTACATATTATGTGAAGACAAAAATAGCCAAAGTAGAAATTCTAATTGTTGAAGTACTGCGAAATGAAAAAGGATAAAAAATTGTTCACCCAAAAATGACACACATTGCAGGTATCCAAATCTGAACCAAATGGATTAGCAAGTTGCAGTTACCGAGTAAATTTATAACAGTAAGGACAAAAAAAATCAACCCTAAAATTAGAATCAAAACAAAACTATAGGCAATACTAGAAAAATAACAACTATCTTTTTTTGGGTAAGCAGTCTATATAATTATATAAAGCACACAACTCAGAAGGAGCTATGTCACAACTTTTGTATACCTAAAATACCCATATACATAATAATTGCCACGATTCTAAGATCTTGACTACTTCAAATAACCGCTATGATTATTTAAGTTCCTCATAGTGTGCACACACGCCTCTAGTCTATACTTCTATACTATCTATACTATTATATAAAGCACACAACTCTTTGTTAGTGTGAAGTGTCACACTTTTCCCATTCCCAAATTGCCACTCTACAACTACCTCTATATAACTACCTCAGATTTTGATTTCAAATTTCAAATTTCAAATTTTGATGACTTTTCAGGTTTTATTTTTTTTCCTCCTACATTCAACTCGTTAATTTTCATAGCGCGCACACCCATCTAGTATTATATATACACACACAAACAAAAGTACAATGGTTACAATACTAATCAGGGAACAAACGCACATTCAAAATAATAATAATAATAATAATAATAATAATAATACATATCAGGCAAGCAAAATTCCCTAAAACCTAAAATTTCAAAGACTGTACCTGAGATGACACAACTTGGCTGAGAATTTCACCGCTACTCCGAACCTAAAATCAAACAATAAAAAAATGAATACTCAAATCAAACCCACAAAGTAAACCATACCCATGAAGTGAATAACAGTAGTATATATACATATATATAGTGTGTGTTTGTGTGTGACTTACTACGGCAGCGGCAGTGTCGTCACAGCTCGTCTCAATGCCCAGAATGACCAAATTATCAGATACAGTTTCTGGGTTTTCATTTTGGGGCTTTGGGGAACTCAAATTGGACATTGAGAGTAAGGAAGATGAAGAATTGAGGGAAGAATTGGGAGGAGAGAGAGAGGCTCTAGTTTCTTTGAAGTTGAATTGGAGTGTTGTGAGACTGAGAGCTCTGAGGGAGTGGTAAAAGGAGGGTTTTGGAAGGAAGTTCAGGCGGGAAATGGTGGACGAAAGAACCGGTACCAACGACGACACCATACTTGATGATGCTTTGAGAGAGAGAGAGAGAGAGAGGGAGAGAGTGCGTGTGGATTGGGAAACAGGCGAGAGGGGAAGAGTGTTTGGAGATTTTTGGGAAGTGAATTTTTATTTTTATTTTTATTTTTTGTTATATGATTACCGGCTTATCAGCCGTGTGAATAATTATAGATATTTATATTTATTTTAAATTTTTTTTAATATATAAATTATATTTTTTGAGATTTTTTATAAAAGTAATTTTATAATTTTATCACTAATTATAGTATACAGAAAAAATTAAAAAAGTTACTGTAGTAACGATGTACGGGTTGTATCTATAATTATTTGTATGAGGAGATTTTAAATGTTAATTAAAAATTTTGATCAAATCAATAAAATGTAGGTATGTGGAAAGACATGTGGATTGGAAAAAATTAATAAATGTTGATCAACGGATTTTAACCAAATCAATAAATGCTGAGATTTTTTTTAAAAAAAATAAAAAAATTAAGATTTGAGCTCCCACAAGACTTGGGATTTAGAAACTTCATTTTCCTTAATATATAGATATAGATATAGATGTAGATATAGATTTTAGTTTTTGTGTTTAGGAAGTTGGGTTTAATTTTTGGATTAATTATTATATTAAAAAATGTGTTTGAAATGATATTTGAGGTTAAAATAACAAATTTGTCTCTAACTTGACTTTTTTCAAAATTGGTCTAAAAAGGTAAAATTGCCATTTACCAACAATTGGATTGCCTGCCATTGTGACAGTGGTAGCCTGTCACTACACTGTTAACGTGATCGTGTAGTTGCCCCACTGCCGAGCTACATTTTTTTTCTTTTTTTTTAATCATTGGTTTAGGATATTATTTGAGGTTATTTGGTTTTTTTAGTGTTTGAGGCTATTTTAGCCTCAAACTTGGATTCCCAAACATTGAGAGAAAAAATTTGTTACACTATGAAAGAAAAAAAATGGTGAGTAATGTATTTTTTATTTAATTGGATAATTTATGTGGAGAGAAATTGAGATAAATCTATCTCTCTTATAACCCTCATTTTCAATATTTCCAAAAGTAGAGAGACTGAGAAAGAAAAGAAATTAACATTTTTATATTTTCATAATACCAATTTTGTCTCTGTAAAAATAAAAGAAATAAAATGATTGACATCCATGTCCCCAAGGGTTTTTCATATAAAAAAAAGTTATTTTGGTAATATAACATAAAACAGTTTCTTTTATTTTCTCTTACGAAATCTAACAAAACAAAAAAGAGAGAAAATACAAACTTTTTAGGGAAAATTTATTTATAAGTCTTATTAAGAAGACTTATGCTACATATGGTCATACTAAAAAACTTATGTTCCCATAAATCTTGTGGGAAGTTTGTTGACCCATTTACCCTAAATATTAGTTGTTAATATCATAAATAATAGTAAAACCATATATAGGAAATTGAATGTTACCATAGATCATATCTATATAAACGTAACGTAACGTGACACCTATGATCTATGGTAACATGCAATTTCCTATATGGAAATTACATGTTACCATAGATCATATCTACATAAACGTAACGTAACATGACACCTATGATCTATGGCAACTTTCAATTTCCAAAATTAAATGTTGCCATAGATCATATCTACATAAACGTAACGTAACGTGACATCTACATAAACGTAACGTGACACGTATGATATATGGCAACATTCAATTTCCTACCATAGATCATATTTATATAAAGCGTAACGTGACACCAACATAAACCAGCAACATTTTCACATTCAATTTAAAAAAATAAAAACTCATCAAGTTTGCGAAATGTAACGTGACACATTACGCTTCCGTTTGGGAAGTGGGTTGACTTTTTGGCTTTTTGGCTATTTTAGCCTGGTTTGGGAAGGACTTTTTGGCTTTTTTTGTGAGAGAGGATTGTAATGATTATGGGTTGGATTTGATGTTTTATTTTTTGTGACTAAAATAGTCTATTTTGTTTTTTGTGGCTATTTTAGCTAAAAAAGCCTGGCTTTTTTCTTCCCAAACGGAGCCTACGTTACGTTACGTTTATATAGGTGTCCCATCACGTTTCGTTATGTTTATGTAGATGTCACGTTACGTTACGTTTATGTAAGTGTCACGTCACGTTACGTTTATGTAGGATCATGTATAATACATTCCTATCTAAATAGGACTTGAGACTCTATAAGAAATTACACAGGACTTAACCTACCATAAGTGTCTGAAAAAAGATTTATAAATAAGTCTCCCTTTATTTTATTTCTTATTTATCCATATAAAAAGGAGAGAAATTACAATTTTTTTTTTTAATTTTCTCTTATAATTTAAGTAATCATTTATTTTTTTTTATCTCTTAGGTCCCCAAACACAGTTAGGAGAAGAAAGAAAATTAAAAAATGTCTTGTTAAGTTGGAGAAAAAATAAAAGAAAACATGGTTTCGTTTGGAAAGTTGGATTTGTTTTTTTTTTTTTTTTTTTTACTTTTTAATAACTATTTAGACTAAACTAAAAAAATTGTTAGAGTTGTTTTTTTTTTTTTAATTTTTTAAACTTTTATAAGAAAAGAAATAAAATAATTATAATTTAGATGTAATATTTTATCTTATTAATTTTTTAACTTTTGTAACTAATTTAGCCAAAACTTGAATCCAACTCACATTTCAAACAACATCATAATCACTTTACTTGGTTATGTAATTTTTTAAAATCAACTCAATCTTCTATAAAATTTATGAATTTTTTAAAAATCATTACATATAAAAAAAAATCAGTAAATTAATAAAATACAATCATTTATGATTAAAATTGAAAAATAAGAGACAAATGTAAGATTTGATATAAAGTAAAGAGGTACAAAATTCTTGAGAAATTCTTAACACTATGCCCTTGTTTGATTAACACGATAAATAATGAAAAGATTAATAATTTCATGAATTAATATAGGATTGGTTATTCAAATTAAATTAGTGAGATAATTATTTATAATATAATTATTTTTTTTTCTTTTATACTTAAAATTATAATATCCAGTCCCTTTCAATATGAAAAATTTGTCAATTTTGTTAGATTGAATGTCCACCATTTAATTTAATTAATAAAATTTGCAATCAAATATGAGATTGTAAGTCCATACATTAACAATTTCAATCATATGCTATATAATCCTACTAATCAAACATACCCTATAAAAAAATCTCAGTACACACTATTTGTATGATTTGGAACATAAACTTATGAACAAAAATAATTGTCCAAATATACTTTTTTTTTTTTTTAATACGTTCAAACACACATCTTGTTCAATTGTTTATGCCCAAACAAATATTTTTCCCTCATAAGTTTATGTCCAAATATTTTATTTTTGTTCAGAAATTTATAACTGAACAACATTTGTTGTGTAACAATTCTTCCTGAAATTTTCAGCCAAACATAACATCAACAAAAATACAACTTTTTCTTAATAATTAAAAGAGAAAGACCGAACAACCTTAAAATGATCACCAAAACATCCAAAAGAAACAGAGAGAAATTATTGAATTTGATAATGTTGTTCATAGACTAGGAAGCACGGATACGGATACGGGATACGGGTATGATACGATAGGGATACGGGTACGATATGACAAAATTTGAAAAAGTAAAATACGGATACGGCGGGGATACGTTCATAAAAAATATTATTTTTACAATTTTTAGTAATGTAGCATACATAAAAATAAAACTTAAACAATTTTTAATAATGTAACATACATAAAAATAAAACTTCAACAACTTTTAGTAATGTAACATATATAAAAATAAAACTTAAAGCAAAAGACAACTTGATAAAAAAAAAAAGATTTCTAGCATCACCCATAACAATCATAATGCAATTCAAATTAAGGGGAAATTTTTTTACAAAGTTCATTTATTTATTTATCCACAGTTTATAATTTTATAAGTTTACAAAGTTCATTAATAACTTTATTTATTTATTTATTACTAAATTTTTTACCTTATTTGGTTTATTTTGTTTTATCAGATAATACCGAATGAGTACATACAAATTTTTTTTTTATATCTTATTTGATTTATTTTATTTTATTTACAAAGTATACATAATGAGTACATACAAAGTTTTTTTTTTATATCTTATTTGATTTATTTTATTTTATTTACAAAGTATACATACAAAAATAAAATAAATAAATAAATAAACAAATATGTAAACATCTACACTTGCGGGTCATTTTTTTTTTGTATGTATACTCTAGGGGATGAGATCGACAGACAGACGATAGACCGAGAGGGGGAGAGAGAGATGAGATCGAGATCTATCCATCTCCACCCAGACCAGACAGACCGAGAGAGAGAGTGAGATCGAGCGAGAGGGAGCGAAAGGGAGAGAGAGAGGGACGAACCTGATCGATGACCATCGAGCTGCTGATCGACGAACCTGATCGACGAACCTGAGCGAGAGACGACAACGAACTCCTCCTCCTTCGCGGCTGGATGCTATTCGACCTAGGTAAGTTTGATTGATTAATTTTTTTTTTTTGTTTTATTTTACCTTATTCTGATATTTTATACTTGATCTCCATTTTAAGTTTTTGAAATTATTTTTTTGCCCCGCCGTATCCCGACCGTATCCCAAACGTATCCGAAATTCAAAAATAAAATAAAAAAATAGGATACTTCTTTTTCCGTATCTGAAACGTATCCTGCCGTATCGGGCGCGTATCCGTATCCGATACGTATCCAATACGCATACGGGAGCCATTTCGGCGTATCGGTGCTTCATAGTTCATAGATATAGTCTCTCTATTGGACAAAGTACAAAATATGCCCACTGCAAGCAATAACAGTGACAAAATCTACCCAATTCAACGAGATTAGCATTCATGTAACTGAATGTTGAACAAAGATTCCAAATACTAGAACGTAGAAAATTTTGGGTGAATCACGGTGTTTTTTTTAACAAAGATTCAAAAAATTGTTCATTTTGACATCTTTGCAGCCAGTTCTCTGACCAATTTAGCAGCAACCATAGCAGTCATCCCACCAACAATGTCACGTTGTGGGTTGTACTCAACTACATCTGCACCAACAATATCACCTCGAAGGTTCTGGAGTATGTTGAGAACATCACGGAAAGAGAGGCCTCCTGGTTCAAGATGAGAGACTCCGGGAGCAAAGGCAGGATCGAGACAGTCCACGTCCACTGAAATGTACACGCCCTTCACACCTTCCCCGAGTTTCTGCAGCAGAGTGTCCAAGTTATATAACTATATATAACAAAAATCCTCCAAGAGAATCATTCACGCTGTTTTAAATGTTTATTATTATGATTTTGAAGTTCACACACACATAGAGGGGGGGAGGGAGAGGGATACCAGGTTCTCCAAAAAGGGACGATCTTTTGAAAATGTTCGCATTTCAAATTGCTCCACGCCAAATCTTTTCCCTTGTTCACGGCCTTCCCAATTTATTGATCTAATACCAACCTGAACAGCAAGCATTTTAACCGTCAATGATGACAGAATAGCATCTCAATATCCAGAGTAAAGAAAATTGCCATCAAGTCAACATGTAAAACAACCAAATATGTGTTTCAACTAATCAAAGTAAATATTGGAAAAAAATGAAGGAAAAAGAAAAAGAAGCAAGAGTGGTTGTTGGAAAACAAATACTTGCAAAAGCCTCCGTGCATAACCACCCTCCATAATGCGAGCAAATGAGGATGCATGAGAATATTTGTTTCCTTCAAAAGCTTCGTAGATATCAGGATGGGCATCAAGGTGAAGAATATCAACTGGTCCTCCAAGCTTCTCAGATACAGCTCTTACAACGGGATACGATATTGAGTGGTCACCCCCCAAAACTAAAGGGCGCAATGGATTCTGTAATGGCAACAGCAAAATTTATGTCCTCACATATCAAATTTTCGTCTTTTCTTCTCTAGTTGTCATGAAGCAGATTACTGTCAAACATGACTTACTTGTTCCATCACTAGCTTGACAGATTCAGATATAGTATTCATCAATCTGTCGTCATCTACACCAGTATCTCGTATCTCTTGGACAGGAACATCACCAACATCAGTTAAGACCCGTGGATCATCTATTTCTTTCCCTGCATTATCCCAACATGTTAGACACAGAACATACCCGATATCTCACAAAGCAAGCACGCCAAAAGTGCAGGGTCCTAATTTATATAATTAAAAAAAAAGAAAAGAAGAAGAAGAAAAGCAGTTTCAAAAGCAAAGGTGAGAAATCAACGGTATGTGTCAGGAATTCGGGGAGTCCATGAATATGCAACAACAATACAATCAAATCCGTTGGGGAGAAATTAGAAGTCCACGTAGGACCTAACATACATTATTTGAAACTCACACTCCCTTAACAACTTAAGCATTTAAGTGGTGAGTTCATCTAATCTATATTAAGACTCCCTATACTTTTTATCCAATGTGAAACTCTACCTACCCTAACAATCTCCCCGTCGTATGTGAATCATGAATTGGGCCTGCTCTCCTTTGAGTCTGACCTACCACTCTATAGGATTCTGAAGAGCTCACCATAGATCATACACAACCCAATTCATTAGGGAGAAATTTAGAAATCCATATGCTTAACACATGGGTTCAATATATTGTTTAGAACTCATACCAACTTAAAAACTTAAGACAGTAAGCATAAGTCCATCCAATGTATATTAAGACCCAATTCTTTTTTATTCGATATGAGACTCTACTTTTACACATATTCCAACATGTCCTTTCAATACTCTAATAGGACCCCTCCTTGGAGTCCTTGGAGGGTGGCCTAAGAAATGGGTTAACCAATCATGGTTCAGTAAAATAAAAACTGAATGTTATCAATGACACAGGAAACTTGGTGTTCACATTTCCAAGGTTTTAAAGTGGGGCAAATAATTTAAGCATGAATGACAAGATTGATGCATGCACGCCGCGCGCGCGCACACACACACAAACAAACAAAAGATTAAAAAAAGAACTATTCTCCCATTGATTATAATGACATGTAGAGGTAACATAAAATGGTGATTTTTTTATCAGCACATCCAAAAAGATGTAAATGTGCCATAAAAAACCTGCTAGATAATCAAAGTTCCTCAAAGATCAACAAAAAGACTGAATTCGATACATATGGATTGGACAACCAACTATGAATTGTGCAAATTTAGAACCTCTTTTCTGCACCGTCATTAGAAAAAATGAAATGGCAGGAACACACAACCACGTTATTTATTTTGTGTATGGAAATACACATGCACAAATGTAGTCAGATATTTTTGGCTTTATATGGAAAGCATGAACCTTGATTACATATTAGCTTTTTTTCCCTATCTCTCTCAACAAACACAATAGAGACGCACACAAACACAATAGTCACTAAAAAAGTAAATGTCTTAGCTAGACAGATTTCACTATACAATTTGGATACCTGCCTTGCATGCAAAGTTAGAACCTATATTACACAATAAGAGTACGTGAACATGATTCATCATTTTCGGAAACAGCACCTCACCCACTGAAATCCAAAAAACATCACTAATGCTTAGTAGTATAAGTTATGATCATTTATTCGAAAACTGAAAATCATGTTCACCTTCTTCAGTAGAGGTGTTTGTGCTGCCGCACCAGATTGCCTCCCTTATGTGAGGAGGTGCAAATGCTGGCCCCTGTAGAAATGATGAGTTATGTCCCAGAGGAATTCCAAGAAGAGATGATGATGCTACTGCTCCTCCCACAGCCCGAACTAGCTCACCCTGACAAAGGGTAAAAAGTTTCAATAATCCTTTCCAAAGCAATTTTACAAATGAAATAGAACTAGAAACAATGCAAAACTAGAATGGGCATTCCATTCTTGCCTATTCCATTGTACCAAACGTGCTTTGTTGGGAAATGAGCCCAACAGAAATTTGGAGAGTACAAACAAAAAAATGATACATAAATTGAGGAGTGCTCACAACAAGTGTGATGACTATGGATGCCTTCCACGTCAAATAACTGGAAGATGTTCAGCAATGTAGTGAGAAAGCAAAATGGGTAGAAAAAAGAAGGATGCCATGGACACATAGAACTATTGCCACAATAACCAAAAGATGATGTTCAGATTGAAGGCAAGTGCTAATCCTACCAGAGACTACCAAAATAAAAATGCATTGATGGGAGAGCTGCAATCAAATTCATATTCCTGAACCAAACCACTGCAGATCAAATGTCATCCAGTCATGACAGAATTACATAAGACGAGAATATCAGCTCATCCTGCGCTCAATATAATGAGGCTGCATAATCATAAAATCCGGTGGTCTATTCACAAGATTCTCACTTGTCAAAGATATAAAGCATTTTAGTTCACATTGTTGGCCAGACATTTGTTGAATAAGATTTTGATAAGACACATCTACGATAGAAGTTCAGACATGAAATTTCAAATCAATGGCATAATCGTGTCAGAAAGCCACAATCATACATTTTTCTGATGCAGAATTCATTCATCTCCACGAGGTGTAAAATACGACATCATTTAAATTTAAATGACACGCCGTGTTCAATGCATGGTGGCAAATATAACAGACACAAGGCACAAAACAGGATGGTTCTAAATGAAATTGAGATATACCTTAAGCTTTGCCCTCTCACGAATAAGAGTAAGGGAAGCTTCTATAACACGCTTTTGGCCCTTTTCTATCAATTCAATTGGAACATTTGCAGCACTTAGATTGTGCAGGTAACGGATTCCCATCCTCCCAACATTCCTCATGTCTGTGAACTTCAGGAGGAAAAAAAAATGCTTTACTGATTCTATACGTTTAAAACTGATGCAGGTGAAAAAAGTTAGCAACCTGACAAATATCAGGTACAAATATAGCAGAAGAAGAAAACACTGCATTACGACAATGTTGTGCAACATAATGATATTACTATTACTAATACTATTCTATTTGATAGATGAGTCAAGTGTTCTGGACAGGAGAATTAACCAATGTTGTATTGGCACCTCATTTTTTACATTTCAAGTTCAAATACACAAACACACAAAAAAAATATATTCAACCACAACATTCAAGTTCAAGTTCAAGTTCAAGTTTCTTCTTTCTTCTTTGTTCTTTGTTCTTTCATATTTTTTTTTTTTTTTTTTTGGGGAAGATGAGATGAATTTTTAGTTGAGTTCTTGTATTGGAAAGACACACAAAAAAAATATATTCAACCACAACATTCAAGTTCAAGTTTCTTCTTTCTTCTTTGTTCTTTGTTCTTTCATTTTTTTTTTTTTTTTTTGGGGGAAGATCTCGGATTGTTCACCTAACCACAATAATTGGGATAAGCGCATGTTCAGTTGTGCTTATTTACTCGTGTTCAGAGATCAAAGCTGAAACTAAAACAGAATTATACATTTGAAAATAACCATACCAAGACGAACAGACAGAGAAAAAAAAAACTAAAAGAAATTTATTTACATTCAACTAATTTACCAAATTTTAGGTGTATTGCAATGATGTGTTTTGAAAGAATCCCCAAACTAATAACTATTATCTTTTCACATCATGTTTATATAATTCATATGTATATGAAGCATGGGTGTTCTAAAAATGTTGTCGTACAAGTACCGGATATTTACCAGGTGCGGGTACGCGTACCGGTACGGCTGCACGTGTATCGGGTATGCCAAAAACGCACCGGGTACGTTTTATACGATCCGTATAGTGATGGGTACGTCATAGGTACGTTTTTGGATACTCTGAGATAAAAAACGAGATTGTCTACAAATTAAAGGGTACCGGAGCAATTTTTACGTCTATTTTAAAAACTTATAAAATCGGAGGTTCTTTTGTAATAAATAAAACATGAAACCAAATAAAATTAAGATTTTATATCATTCGATCATCTACCTCCAGTATCTCCTTCCAGAAATACTCCAAGACTGATTCCACAAATAAGGTTCAATGGAAGAACCAATTAAATTAGGGTTCTATGTCTATTCGATTATCTTCTTCCAGAAATACTCCCAAGAGAGTCTGAAGAACACTTGCGAAGGTGAAAGGTTTAATCGAAGGTGCTGCTGATTGGTTCTCTCCTTCGAAAGGTGCGATTGAAGAGGTAAGCTCATCTTCGATTCTTCCCCCTTTTCTTCTTCGATTCTTCTTCCTCTTTCTTTCATTTTTTTGTTCAGATTTTTGTGCTGTTTCTTCGCAGCAAACGATCGATTCTTCTTCCTCTTTTTTCATCTTTTTATTTTCCAGATTTTTGTACTGTTTATTGGCAGCAAACAGAGAACAAATACATCTTTTTTTTCCTTTGTTTTTCTTCAATTCTTCTTCTTCTTCTTTCTTTCATTTTTCCAGATTTTTTTTTCTTTCTTTGCAGCAAAAAAATGATCTCAGATATTATTTTTTTTAGATTGAAGTTAAATTATTTACCTTTTTTTTTCTTTCGTTTGTCTTTCTTTGCAGCAAACAAATGAACAAAGAAGACAAATGAACAAAGATATCTGGGGTTCTCAAAAAAAAAATGTCATTTTACATTAGTTTTTTTTTTTTTTTTTACTGTTGTATACTGTAGTAGACACAATAATGACATTAAAACAGCTCTTATGATTTTATGTTATTCAACTTTAATTTGTATCTTACATGTTTAGCTATAAATTTTAAAAAAAATAAAAGTATTGTACTCATATCTTACTTTTTTAAAAAATTATATTATCCACCTACTTATTGTTGGAAAAACAAAAATGGGTGGGTTCTCGAATTTCGTGGGTCGAAATTTGGGTCGAATTTGAAGAGAGGGAGAGAAGAGAGAAGAAGGAGAAGAGAGGGAGACGGGATGCTGGTTCTGCCGACGTTCTCGTCGCCTTGCCGTCCTCGCCGCAGCTCCGTCGCCTCGCTGTCCTCGCCGCAGCTCCGCCTCTGCCTCTGCCTCTGCCTCGCCGCCACACCTCCGCCCCTGCCTCAGCCCCGAGTTTATTGGCCCCCTCCCCTCCCCTCCTCCTCCTTCTTCCTCCCCTCGTCTTCTTCTTCCTTCTGCTGAAAAAATAAAAAAATAAAAAAATACAAAGATCAAAACGACGTCGTTTTGATCTTTCGACCCATTCGACCCACGAATTTTCGAGCTACCAACCGGGGTTGTTGGAAAAATTGGTTTATCATGGCTTATTTTGGGCCGACTTGAGCTCAAAATTGAGTGGGTCCCGAACGTCTTTCAAGACGGGTCCGAAAATGTGAAGTGTTCCTTGTCGCGTGACAAGTCACACGGTGAAAACGGTTTGTCAAAACCAGTTATGAGTGAATGGGAAGTTGTCGTTTTCGGGTCTAACATTAATTTTTTAAATAAAATTCATTTGAAACGGGTTCGAAAAGGTGAAGTGTTCCTTGTCGCGTGACAAGTCACACGGTGAAAACGGTTTGTCAAAACCAGTTATGAGTGAATGGGAAGTTGTCGTTTTCGGGTCTAACATTAATTTTTTAAATAAAATTCATTTGAATTTTTTCAAATAAAAAAATTATTGTGAGAATTTAATTTAATTCTAAATTCAAATTTTGGATTCCTAAGTGGTTTCCTAAAGTTTGTAATTGTGGGAATTTAACTTAATTCTAAATTCAAATGTTAGATTCCTAAGTAGTTTTTTAAAATTTGTACATCTTCTTTTATTTATTATACTATTCAAATAGTTTAATATATATATTATATATATATTCCTAATAGTTATTAATAATAAAGTTTAAAGCAGTTCTTTGTTTGACCAACGAACAACTTTTTAAATTTGTTTGAAATTTTGTTCTTTCCTACGGTCAAATCTTATATTCAAATTGTGAATAGCTTTGCACCTGTTCACTTCGGAATTGCATCTGTTCGGGTCAGAGCTTGTTGCCTATATATACCAACATACTAGCAAAAAAAAATATTTTAAAGAGAGTATTAGAACACAAAGTTTGGTTCGCCATACAAATTTGTTTGGTGTGCTACAACAATTTTGTAAAGATCATTGTATCCTGGGAGATAGACGCCACTCAACCGTAAGCACCGTAGCGGGGTGAATCTGTCTTAAGAACAGAGTGTCACACACTCGACTTGATCTTTTGATTTTATTTAGTTCGACAAAATAAATTCTGTAAGTTTTATTTTATTTTGTTTGAAGTTGTTTCGATTTATTTTATTTACACAGAAGATTGTTCCAACAAATA